ATAAAATCATTCATTAAAAAAAAGAATTATTATGTAGTAGAGGTCCCTTGGCTGGAGGGCCTTGTCCCTGCCCTGGCGGCCTAGGCCCTTGTAGACCATGGCAAGGGCAGATCTGCGAGATGGGGATTCTAGAGCTGCAGGTGCCTGTCCCTGAAGCCAGAGGAATGGTTCTCTGATGCAGATACTTGTACTGGAGGGGAGCTGGTCCAGCTGGGGGGGAGGGAGGGGCAGCTGGGTCCCAGTGGGGCTCAGGGAGGTAGGCTTCTCCCCAAGCTGTGGCTGCCGTGCGGAAGACAGGGAGCACCTGCCACAGGTTATCACTGGGCACTGACCAGTATCCTCCATATAGTTTTGTTGGGAGGCCACCTGGTTTCATGTACTCCTAATTGCTCATACAACTGCATGGCCAGCTCAGGTGCCCTTTAGTACAGCTTTATGTTTATTCCTTTTTTTATTTTTATTTTTATTTTTTTAAAGATTTTATTTATTTATTTGACAGAAACATAGCAACAGAGGGAACACAAGCAGGGGGACTGGTAGAGGGAGAGGCAGGCTTCCCGCAGAGTAGGGAGCCTGATGTGGGGCTTGATCCCAGGATGCTGGGATCATGACCTGAGCCAAAGGCAGACGCTTAATGACTGAGCCAACCAGGCGCCCCTCCTTTTTTTATTTTTTTAAAGATTTATTAGAGAGAGAGAAAATGTGAGTGGGGGGAGGGGCAGAGGGAGAGAATCTTCAGGCAGACTACCCACTGAGCCAGTCCAATGCAGGGCTTGATCTCATGACTATGAGATCATGACTTGAGCCAAAATCAAGAGTTGGATGCTTAACAGACTGAGCCACCCAGGCACGCCTATGTTTATTCCTTTTTATCTGCTTCCTAATAAATTGCCTTTTGTAATTTCTGCATTTTATTTTCCCTTTTATTAGTAAAATGTGGTTCCTATTAAAGCTATTTTAAAAAAGAATTGTTAAGTAATAGTTGCTTATTATATTTTTCCATTATGGAAATTTCTATAAGATCTGCTTCTTAGTTTTCTTAGTAATCTTTTTTTTTTTTTTTTTTAAAGATTATATTTATTTCAGAGAAAGAGAGTGTGAATAGGGGAGCCCAGCTCAGGGCTTGGTCCTAGGACCCTTGGTTGTGAGCTCACTCTCTCTGAAATAAACACAGTCTTTAAAAAAAATTTTTTTAATGCGTTTTTTTTTTTTCCCCAAATTCTTTACCATTTAGAACTTTTTTTTTTTTTAAGATTTTATCTATTTATTTGACAGAGACACAGTGAGAGAGGGAACACAAGCAGGGGGAGTGGGAGAGGGAGAAGCAGGCCTCCTGTGGAGCAGAGAGCCTGATGGGGGCTCGATCCTAGGACTCTGGGATCATGACCTGAGCCGAAGGCAGACACTTAACAACTGAGCCACCCAGGCGCCCCACCATTTAGAACTTTTAATTGATGTTGAAAATGTAATATTGATGTGACCAGGTAAATTTAAAGTTCACTTTCTTGAAACTATTAGTTGATAAATCATCTTTACTACTACTTTAAAATAATTTAGATTGGAATAGATTCTGATTAACTACTTCTGGCTTTCAAGAAACAACTATAAACTATATATCATATGCCCCCCCCAAAGATTTATTTATTTTTAGAGCATGCATGAGAGAGCAGAGAGGGAGAGAGAATCTTAAGCAGACTCCACTCTCAGTGGGGAGCCCAATGAGGGGCTTGATCTCAGGACCCCAAGATCATGACCTGAGCCGAAATCAAGAGTTGGACTCTTAACTGACTAGGCCACCTGGGTGCCCCTATATCGTATGCTTTGATGAACTATTGTGATTCTTCAGTTTTAACAGAATTATGAAAAAAGGAATTTTTAAAAATTAAAAGTGACATGGCTCTTCTGGGCACTTGGGCTTTTTATCATTTTAATAGGACTGAAAAGTATTTGGGGATCTAAATTTATGCCCCCGTTTTGATTTATGATCTTTTTTTTTTAAGATTTTATTTATTTATTTGAGAGAGAGAATGAGATAGAGCATGAGAAGGGGCAGGGTCAGAGGGAGAAGCAGACTCCCCGCCGAGCAGGGAGCCTGATGCGGGACTCGATCCCGGGACTCCAGGATCATGACCTGAGCCGAAGGCAGTTGCTTAACCAACTGAGCCACCCAGGCGCCCTTGATTTATGATCTTAAAATCCATAGTACATTTAATAGACTACACTGGAAATGCACATTGCAGTTCAGATTAGCATATCAAAATGTGAACTCAGAAGTTGAGTCATTTTATCATTTTGTAATTCATTTTAAAACCTTTCCCCCTTTGGGGTGCCTGGGTGGCTCAGTTAGTTAAGCTTTGGACTCTTGATTTTGGCTTAGGTCATAATCTCAGGGTAGTAAATAGAGCCTCCTGTGGGGCTGTGTGCTCAGGGTAGAATCTGCTTGTCCCTCTCCCTCCTCCTCTGCCCCTCACCCCCCCAAATATATAAATAAATAAAAATAAATAAGTAAATAAATAAATAAATAAATCGCTAAAACCTTTCCCCCTTTGTAGTTATTTCAAATTGGTCAGCAGAAAATTCTGCCAGTTAGATTGTACATTTCCTTTCAAAATTAGTGTGGTAGTAGGGAATTCACCAAGAGTGCAATGGCATTTATAACAAATTTATCACTGTTTTGTATTTTAAAAAATCATTGTTGCTATTTTTTTTAAGATTTTATTTGAGAACGAGAGAGAGCGAGAGAGAGTGCGAGGGCACAAGCTGGGGGAGGTGCAGAGGGAGAGGGAGAAGCAGACTCCCTGCTGAGTGGGAACCTGACTCAGGGCTTGATTCCAGGACCCTTTTTGTTTTTAAGATTATTTGAGAGTGAGCAAGAGAGAGAAAGCACACACGAGAGGGGGAGGAGCAAAGGGAGAAGGAGAAGCAGGCCTCCAGCTGAGCAGGGAGCCTGATGCAGGGCTCAATCCCAGGACGGGACTCCGGGGTAATGACCTGAGCCAAAGGCAGATGCTTAATCGACTGAGCCATCCAGGCGCCCCTCACCTCCATTTTTATGACACATACGTCTTATATAGAACTTGGTGTTTATTGCCTCACTCATTCTTTCAATAGTAGAAATTCTGCTCTTGTCTGCATTTACTTTACCACTGCTGCTAAGGAATTTTGGTGTTTATAATATTGGCAGTATTGTAATTAAAGTATTTTCCATAATGTTTTTTTTATGAGTCAGTGGAATTAAGTTGATAGTCCTATAACGTATTCTATACTGTAATCATGTGGTGGCTTTGCCAATAATCTTGTATTACTTAGAGGACTTAATACATATAACAGGCATTTTTTTCCATTCTGTGCTAAACAGATTTATTAACCCTTAATTTGAGTGAACATATAGTATCCTGTTCACCTAGTGCTAGTAACACTATTTTTACTGAGTGATCTAGAAAAAAATTCTTTTTATAGGGAAAACTGAAGCCTAGGTATGTATAGGAAGCCTTGCAGTGACAATCTGTGGTCCTGTCTTTAAGGCTTCTATCCCAAGTAGTTTGTATTTTGTAACTCACATAGGTCCTTTTGGATCTTACTAGCATAGGTTTATTTCTCTATGTTTCAAACTTCAGGGAGCTCTGATAACCTAGTGACGTTTTCATCTTTTGCCCTAGCATGTGAGAGCTCAATAAAAATGCTGTGTAAATTCTTTGTTATAATACCCTGTTTTCTTATGTATTTGTTTATTTTTTTAAAAAGCAGTGGCAAATTTGCCTTAGTTTGTTGAGTTGGATTTATTTATCTGGCTGGTTTAGAGATTGTCTTGGCTGTGAGAGCTGTCGTTTTAGCTCAAATGACAAAAACTATCAGGTCTTTCCTCTAGTAGGTATGTTTGAGGTGGATTAAACCTCCTCCTCCCACTTCCCCTCACCCCCGGAGTTATTTGCTTAAAAGATAAGCCTTCCACAATAGAGAGGGGAAAAGTGTGAAGCAAAATTTCAGAAACCTGTAAATAAATACCAGACCCTGTAATTAGCTTTTAATTAATATATTTGAGAATGCTATAACAGAACAAAACCATGGCAGTCTTTGCACATCCGGTACTGAAAAGAGACTTTCCTATTATTCATATAGTTCTTAGGCATAATAAACTTGTTTAAATATATCTCTCTTAATGTGAATGAGTAGGTAATACTTTCTTGTCTTTCAACTGTCTCCCCCTTTTGAGGATTGTATCAAACTGAAGAGTAATAAATTCTCAATTTCATTGACTCATTTCCCACATTACTCACAGAGAAAAGAGCCTAAATCAACAAGACTCAAGTAACTTACGTATATTTCTTCATTAGTCCCCCAAATACTTAAAAATTAAAATTACCTAGGAAATTGTTTTGGATATTTTTGTTTTCCTCAAAATTAATGCACCCCTGAGATGATGGTGGGGGTGGTGGCAGCAGCTTCATTCATTGATGACTGTCATATTCTAAACTCTGTAAACCTGTGGGTTATTTTACTTAATTCATAACCCTGCAAGATAGGTATTTTTATTATTTCCATTTTGTAGATGTGGAAACTGAGGCTTAGCAAGAGGTTAAATTACTTGTCCAAGGTTACGTGCTGTATACATCTAAGTCAAAATTTGAATTGAGGTCTCTGAATCCAAAACCGTATATTCAGTGTTCTTTTATTATTACCGTTAAGTGACTTGCATTTATTAGTCTTACTTCATTTGGAAAAAGTTGTTCCCATTTTGCACAGAATGAAACGTTTGTCTTCAGGGGGCGTGTGGTGGTAAAAGATCAACACTTCTGCTTCCTCAGGTTGAGGTTTGCTCTGTTCTGCCTTCCAAGGCGGGGGAGTGTGAAGTACATGTGAAGAGGGGAGGGCGGCCAGAAATCCCAGACCTGAAATGTAGATGATTGCTTTTAATTGTTTCTACTTGTTGATTTTAAGAAGTTTTATATGCTGCTCATTCTCTGTTTTGTCTTTTTTTTTTTTTTTTTGTCTTTCCGCAGCACTGATTCCAGCAGTAGTTCGAGTGACGACTCTCCCGCCCGATCGGTTCAGTCAGCAGCCGTCCCAGCACCTACTTCCCAGTTGCTTTCATCCCTGGAAAAAGATGAGCCACGTAAAAGTTTTGGGATCAAGGTTCAGAATCTTCCAGTACGCTCTACAGGTAAAAGTTTATATTGCTGTACTTCCCTGTCTTGCTACTATTGGGGGGAATGTGAGACTGAGAATCTTCAGTTGTGTGCTGTGACAACAAGCTTTCTTCTTGTGGTTCATTAATATTTAATGCCATGTAAGAAAAAGCAAGTGATGATTATAACTTTATGTATATGAAGATTGCATGTTACTTGTATTTACTATAGACACGTGCATATATGCGTATATATTATTATACACATTGTTGTACATACATACACAAAGACTGTATGGTGCATGTTCTATAAAGAAAGCATGGTTATTTTTTTTTAAATATGCTATCTAGGTTAAATATTTTGAAATTAGGGAAAAATTGATACGATGAAATTGTAGAAATATTATTTTCAGTTAAATTTATTATATTGTCCTGGAGTCCTGTGTTCTGTGAAAAAACTTTGAACATAAAACTATGATAGGAAACCCACTTCAAAATATTAACATTTTAAATGAGGAAAATCATGAATAATGGAAAAGTCTAGTTAAAAGCTATACTGAAGTCCTTTTTACTCTTAATATTTTTAATTGACAGTCGACCATGCTATATACTGTTACTTCTACATTAGGCATATTGAGTATGTAAACAACTGTTAGTAGATGGTCAAACCAACAAAGACCAAACTTAGTACTTCTTAGGTAAGTGCATTTCATGATTAAATTATTCATTAACTCAGCCTCTAAAACCTACATAACCAGGTTTGTGAATAGAGCTATTGAGGCCCATGTGTTGGAGTGGATGGGGAAAAATTTGCTTGTCTTTCTATACAATTTTAATTTTTATAATGAAGCAAATTAACACAAGACCCTCCAGATAGTATTATTCATCTGTAGAAAACCTTAGAGTTGTTAGCATGTTACATTCTGCTTGCCACACAATTTTATCATTGACATGATGCTTGGAAAGCTAGAAATACAGCTTTCTTTCTCATGTCTTTAAAAGTTTTATATATGTGTGTATGTATATGTGTATATAAAATTTTTATTATGGAAGTTTTAAACTTAACCAAAAGTAGTAGAGGCAAAATGAACACCCCTTACTCTGTACCCCGGATTTAAAAATTGTCAATATTTTGCCAGACTTGCTTTATCTGTTTCCCCCTTCCTTCCTTCCGTTCTTGTTGTGTGTGTGTTTTTTAAAGTGAATCCCTGATGTTATTACATCGTTTCATACCAACTTAAAGATACATACTTCTGTAGTTGTTTGTAAAATAGGAGGGCGGTTTTTCCGCATAGCCACAGTGTCATTCTTATCTAACAAATAACTATCTTCCGATACTCAGTTTATTTTCACAGTTGTACAGGAGTCTCTAAAATGCGATTTTAGGGTTATCTTATTTGAAAGAGAAATGTTTTAATGCTAACAAAATTTAGGTCAAAAAATCAAGCTAAAGATTTCTTAGCTTACTTACTGAGTTGTAACTAAATTAGAAAAATAAGCACCTTGTTTTTTTGGGGGGGATTTAGATACAAGCCTTAAAGATGGCCTTTTCCATGAATTTAAGAAATTTGGAAAGGTGACTTCAGTGCAGATCCATGGAGCTTCAGAAGAGAGGTATGGTCTGGTATTCTTTCGGCAGCAAGAGGACCAAGAAAAAGCACTGACTGCATCAAAAGGAAAACTTTTCTTTGGCATGCAGATTGAAGTAACAGCATGGATAGGGCCAGGTAAGAGAAAGGAGGCTAATTTTTAGTATAATTTGTATTTCAGCTTATGAAAAGGCAGCATCTTAGCGTGAATCTGGATGCCATTCCAGCTTTATTTATTGACTTACTTCCAGTGTCTTCTATTTTAAAGACTGGGTACATTTGTTGTTCAAGTTAATAAAATTACGTTTTGGTTAGGGAGGGTAAAGATAGTTCTGTTCCTGTAAGGGAGAAATGCTGACTTTGAAGAGTCTGAAAGATGGAGTTTTAGCCCTTTTTCGAATCCTGCCTTCCCCAAAAGGATTGAATTGAGATAAGGATATAGTTCTTAGGAGAATGACATCAGAATTACCTTGAATTAGAAAACAGACTACTTGTTACACTGATTTGAGGGACTAGTTAGACCAGTTTTATTTCTATTATGCCCAGCACAAATTGGATCTGTTGTTCTAGTTTCCATAACCTTGAGAGATAGTGACAAAGAAAATCAGGGTTGGGTCTTAGGAGTGTGACCCACTGAGAGTTTCAAGGGGACATTTTTTTAGTATGAACCTGCCTGTAAGACCTGTTGTAAGGCAGGAAGTCTTCTCAGGCATGGCTTGGGTCAGTGTTTCTTCTTTTTGAGAGCCACCTGTAGTGCTTGTTTAAAACTCAGACTCTTTGACCCTGTCTCAGCTTAATGGTTCAGAATTCACATACCCAAGTTTGGGAACCCCCGATTTAAGGCAACTTTGTAAGTAAATTTGTGGAGGAGTACACAGAAATGTTTAAATTATGCAGTCACATTATGTAGCTGAGACAAAGTTCAAGACTAAGACTTTGAGGGGTACCTGGCTGGCTCAGTCTGTGGAGCATGTGGACCTTGATCTCAGGGTCGTGAGTTCAAGCCCCATGTTGGGGTGTAGAGCTACTTAAAAAAGAAAAAAAAAAGACTAAAACTTTGAGTGGAATTTATAGGGTAAACAGCCCATTCTCTTGGAATATTCATTTATTTGGCAATTAAGAAAAAATAGAATTTCCCTGATAAGAGTATGTAAATGTTATTTGTGTATATTAAAACAAGCACAGAGTTGTTAGAAGGAAGACTGCAAAATGTGCATAATTTTATAATGAACACAGGAATTCAAAGGGATTATAGGTTATGCCCTCACGTTCCCTCCTCTGCCAAGTTTGAGATGTACTGGCCTAAGTTACACTGAGCTGAGTGCGACTCAGGAATTCTTATTTAACATATTTAGAACAGGTCACAGTTGGCCTGAGGACTGTTTAGATTGTCATATAATCTATATAGAAAGTTTTTAGAGCTGTATATAATTATTAAGTAACGGGGATCTAATTCAGGGGCATTATTAATAGATGTCCCTCAGATCTCCAAGTCATGGGGCTAGCTTGACATTTTTACTGCAAAAAAGCATTTTACCTAATTAGTTAGCACCCAGGATGTAAATTAGGCTTTAACCATGTGCCATTGAAGATTTTGAGAAGTTTGGTTGGTTCAGGCATAGGAAAGCTTGAAGGTACTTTTCTCAGATGGGACAGCATGAAATACTTGTTGAATGGGATATTTGAAAGCAGTCGAATGTGAGTATGGAGACATGGATGGAATTATGTTGTTGGATGGTTAAGTCATAAATATTTTGTATTGAAACATATGGAGCTGATTGTTTCCTGAGGCCAAGGACCTCTTGGAGTTAAAAAGATCTCAATCCACGAAGCCCAACTTTGCAGATAGACCCCTGGTGGCTTCTAGATTGTGCTTTCTTAGTCCTCTGCAGAGCATTATAGTCCTGTAAACATGAAATTGCAGGATGAAAGAATTTTTTTTTTTTTTTAAGATTTTATTTATTTATTTGACAGAGAGCACAGATAGGCAGAGTGGCAGGCGGAGGGAGAAGCAGGCTCTCCACAGAGCAGAGAGCCCGATGCGGGACTCGATCTCAGGGCCCTGGGATCATGACCTGAGCTGAAGGCAGACGCTTAACCAATTGAGCCACTCAGGCACCCCGATAAAAGAATTTTTTAAATGATGTGTAGGCATTAAGACTTAAAGTGGTCATGAAGATTAAGTAGATTACATATGGAAAATACACTTTTTAAAAATCTTTGCTAAACTGAATTTCTGGTTTTGAAATGTTCACTGAGCTATTTGGTGGAAATGAAACCGGTATAGATTTAAATGGTTGCAAATTAGGCTTTATCCTTCTTATTCTGACTTTTGGAATATAAATAAACCTCAGATGTGCCTGAATTATTTTGTCTTTTCTTTATTTTTCTCCCCTTTTAAATGAAATATTCCTGAATATGTGCCCTCTATTAGGTAGTTTTAAGAAGACCTAGTCGATCTTGAAATGAGATCTCTCCCTAGGAGACATGATGAAAATACAGGATGGAGACAGGTACACGAGCCCTGGCAATTTCTGGGTCCACGTGACTCTGTGAAAGTACATATTCCTTGATGAGGCTAGAAAGGTTAAGCTGGGCTATCATTAGACCTATGAAACTGGAATCAGGATTGAGGTGTGTTCTGAGTTCACTCAGCAGCTCAGAAGTTGAATCTTTTTAATATCAGTGTTGTTGTTGATATCAGTAATATTCAGTGCGTGGCCCTAAACACTTTGTTTCAGTCAAGCTGATTAAATACGAACTTTTTTGGATGGCTTTGGTTTACATTAAAAAGGAGAGAACACATAGGCTGTATTATAGTTACTATCGACAAAACATTGAATGTTCTGCCCTGGACCAAGTTTAGAAATGGAGCTTCAGAGAAAGGCTGTGCTTGAATGAGACATTAAACCAGGGCTTTTGATCATAAGAAGCAGAAACCTTAAGAGTCATTGAGTCTCTTCTTGTTCCTCATTGGGAACCTTGCAGCAGCAAGTTTGTAAGTCCTGCTTCGGTCCGTTTTCATACAATTATTATTCTTGTATCTAACAATTGCTACATTTAGACACTTGGGCTATGTTAATTAGTATGACAAATGTAAAATGCTAAATATTTTCTAAAATGTTGAAAAGTAAATTAAGTAATGAAGCTGGGCTATTTTCAGTTGAGTTTTATATGTGTTTCAGATTGTAGTTTTATACTTCCATTGAGAGCCTGCTGCATAATTTTTGGAACCTAAGATTAGGTTTAGGTAATTACTATTTTTGCTGGGGTTTAAAATCTATTTCTGTGTCAGTGATTATTTTTAAAACAAATCAACTTACAGACTGAAGTTCAGTCCACTTTTCTGTTTTAAAGATCAAAGAAAATGCTACTTCCCCCTGAGTTTTGTTGGCAAGTTTCTTTAGCCTTTGGAGTTAGCAAAAGACAGCTATTTCTGAAGGTGTATATAATTTTTCAGATTGTATAGTATTCAAACCCAATATTTCAGAGACATAGCTTCTTAAGTGTAGATTTTCCCATGATATATAAATACACATTAAAACACTTTGTTTTGGGGCACCTGGCTGGCTCAGTCAGTAGGGCATGCAACTCTTCATCTTTTGATTGTGAGTTTGAGACCTACTTTGGGTGTAGAGATTACTTTAAAAACAAGCAAACAGGGGCTCCTGGGTGGCTCAGTTGTTAAGCGTCTGCCTTCGGCTCAAAAAAAAAAAAATAAAAAATAAAAACAAACAAACAAAACTCTTCTCTTTTTACTCTGCCCCCATCCCACTTAACAGAAACAGAAAGTGAAAATGAATTTCGTCCTTTGGATGAAAGGATAGATGAATTTCACCCCAAAGCAACAAGAACCCTCTTCATTGGCAACCTTGAAAAAACCACTACTTACCATGACCTTCGCAACATCTTCCAGCGCTTTGGAGAAATTGTGGTATGTTGCTTTTTACAGTAAAAGCAGTTTTAGATCTTTGTCGTAAAACATAAAGCATAGTACAGATTATATTTGGAAAAGATATTTAGGTGGTGTAATAAATATTTTTCTCATTTGTCCTATGTGTTTTTAACTCCTGCTAAAAGATGATCCAGCAAAACTCACTGGGGGACTGTTTTATGTGTATATGTAAAACTGTATAATAGATATTTGTCTTTATTTTGTTTACATATATATTTTTGTATCCAGTTTTCTTATTTTTCTTTGTCCATGGGTGCTGTTCAATGCCATCTCTAGTCCTGTGGGTTGGAAGGAAAATAAAGAAGAGATAATATGTTTGTAAGAAAGAAGTAGCAGCTTAGTGTATGAGTATTGTCTTCTCACAATGCACATCAGACTACCTTGGGGGATTACTGGAATGTGGATGTCATGCCAGAAGCTCAGTTCTATTTTGACATTTTAATTAGAATCACTTTTTACATCATGTAAGTCATTGTTAAATTTAGGAATTTGGAGGGTTTTTCTGTTCCTCGTGACTCGTTGTAAGTCACTTTCTAATGAAAATAGTTTGGTTACAGTTTTGTACCCTTGGGATACATATACTATTTTGTTTTGTGTTTGAAAAAATAGGAAAATTATTTCTGTCTTTCCTAGACTTCCTCTGTATTAATAACAGCAAAGAAATTGCTGTGTAATTTTGGACTTTGGAGAATAAAAAAATGTTCTGGGTAGGGACAGCAGTTGTTAATCTTTCAGGTGTGTGTGTGTGT